TTATTTTATGTTTGACAACAAGTTTTATTTACAACTACAACTACATTGGGGACCAGGTTCGTCCCCAGCTATGCCAACATCTGCATGAGAAGATGGGAAAACTTACGGGGCTGGCTTGGCATTGCTGGGGTCGTGACCTGGCCCTGTGACGGAGGTATACAGATGACGTTCTTATTATTTGGCGAGGATCAGAACATTCATTTTCTAATTTTGTAGAGCTTTTGAACACTAACACATACAATTTAAAATACACTTCTGAATGGCATTGTAGTAAAATTAATTTTCCAGATGTGACCCTTTCAAAAACATGGATATACTCTCCAAATGCTATTTAAAAAACCCCAGATGGGAACAGTTATGTTCATAGGCAAAGTTGCCATCATGAGCCCTTTCTCTGAATCACTGCTAAGAGCCAACTTACAAGGGTTAAATGTAACTGCACTACCTTGGATGACTATTATCAACAAGCTGCCATTGTAAAAAACGAATTAATGATAAAAGGATACAAGAAAAATCAAACTGAAAAGGAGATTAAAAGAATTTCAGAGATAGATAGAAACAAATTAATGATAGAAAGACCAACATACTCTAGTAACAAAAAACAGACACAGAAATCTGAACATGCCTTCACCACTAGGTATAATACCGACCACTTCGAAATCAAAAGAGTGATATCGAAATATTGGCCTATTCTTCGAGAGGATAATATCCTCGGATCTGTTTTACCAGAACGACCTCTCATTATATTTAAAAGGAACCAAAATCTTAAAAACAAATTAAATATATTGAGAAGACAGAGAACCACACTTCGGATAAAGAATTCAGATACTGCAGACACTGCAAAGCATGCAATAAAATCTCTATGTCTATGGTATAGAACTTCACTAGTACAGTAAGGGGGAAACAATACTCCATGAAACACAAAATAGATTGACACACGCATTACGTGATATATTTATTACAGTGCCCGTGTGGCAAACAATACGTTGGCAAAAAAAAAACTAAACGTCAGGATCCTAAAACCTTTTGGAAACATCATAAAAAAGGCCATTAACCACACAGTCCCTGTACATTGCAATTCTTGTTTACACTTTTGTTAAAATGAATTCTTCTTTTTTGGAATAGAATATATTCTACCACATTAGAGAGGAGGAAAGAGAGAAGACAGGCTCACACATCGGAAGACATTTTGGATCCATCAATTGGGTTCCTGGGTCCAGGTGGTCTCAACGCAGACAGACATAGTGTGCTTTCTCTAATATATTATTCCCATACAGGGTTAATTTCCAATAAGATATTCTTCTTAAGAGATCTTTATCTCATTACAATGGACCTTTAAGGTTTTTTTTCTCATAGATTTCTTGGATGGGATATTTATTCCCTAAGTGGTTCTTAATATTTATATATAAAAAAAAGTTCTTTGATATTAAATATCCACACTGCACACATCAATGTGAGGGGTTCAGGTTCTGTAGATATATATATGTTTTTTATGTGTTTAAATGTTTCACATCTATTTAGACAATTATGTGGTAATACTCCTTAGTATTATAAAATATTACAACAAAAATATATCTAAATACATCATATAAGTAATAAATCTTTCGATTCTCTTTAATATTCATATCTTCTATCCCAGGGGTCCTCAAACTGTGGCCCTCCAGATGTTGCTGAAATAGAACTCCCATGATTCTTTGAATTACATAGATAGCCAGAGAATCATGGGAGTTGTAGTTCAGCAATATCTGTGGGGTCGGAGTTTGAGGACCCCTGTTCAATAATATTAAAGATGAAATTAATTATTTTCATAACTTCTTTTTACTGCAATTTCCTTTAACCCCTTAACTCCTTAAGGATGGTGGGCATTCTATGCAGTCCTTTTTTGGGTGGTCCTAAACGCCGGCGGGCTACATAGAATGTACCTGCCGTCCAGGGGACTTACCGGGTCCCTGCCGATTCCACGCCGGCGGTCGCAATCCCAGGGGGCTGTCTAGGAGCTCAGGCAGTCCCCTTCTGCACGATCCGACCCTCCAGGGCCATGTGTTTGCGGGGTCCTTGCGATCACATTAATTAATTACAAATTGAGGGACTTGTCTGACAACGCAGGCAGAAAGTACAGAGAATAGTGTTTGCAAGCCCTATATTTTACCCTGTAACTTTCCAAGACACCATAAAACCTGTACATAGGGGGTACTGTTTTACTCGGGAGACTTCGTTGAACACAAATATTAGTGTTTCAAAACCATAAAACATATCACAACAATAAGATTGTCTGTGAAAGTGCAGTTTATTGCTTTTTTCACACACAAATGTCACTTTCACTGACGATATAATTGTTGTGATAAGTTGTAATGTTTGGAAACACTAATATTTGTGTTCAGCGAAGTCTCTTGAGAATAACAGTACCCACCATGTACAGGTCTTATGGTGTTTTTAAAAGTTACAGAGTGTAATATAAGACTTGCATTTCTATTTTTTCACATTAAAATATGCCAGATTAGTTATGTTGCCTTTGAGACCGTATGGTAGCCCAGGAATAAGAATTACTCCCATGATGGCATACCATTTGTACCCCCCATGTACAGGTTTTATGGTATTTTGGAAAGTTACAGGGTCAAATATAGCATGTTACATTTTTCAGTATATACACATTGAAATTTTCAAGATTGATTATGTTGCCTTTGAGACAATATAGTAGCCCAGGAATGAAAATTACCCCCATGGTGGAATACCATTTGCAAAAGTAGACAACCCAAGGTATTACATATGGGGTATGTCCAGACTTTTTTAGTAGCCACGTAGTCAAACACTGGCCAAAGTTAGCGTTCATATTTGTTTGTGTGTGAAAAATGATAAAAACTAAATTGAAAGCTAATTTTGGCCAGTGTTTGAGAATAAGTGGCTGCTAAAAAAGACTTAACATACCCCATTTGCAATACCTTGAGTTGTCTACTTTTGCAAATGGTATGCCATCATGGGGATAATTCTCATTCCTGGGCTACCATACGGTCTCAAAGGCAACATAACCAATCTGGCAAATTTCAATGTGAAAAAATGGAAATGCAAGCCTTATATCTGATCCTGTAACTTTTAAAAACACCAATAAATCTGTACATAAGGTGAACTGTTATACTCGTCAGACTTCACTGTATATAAATATCAGTGTTTCAAAACAGTAAAACGTATTACAACAACTATATCATCAGTTAAAGTTCCATTTGTGTGTGAAAATTGAAAAAAAAATGCACTTTTACTGACGATATCATCATTGTGATATGTTTTACTGTTTTAAAACATTAATATTTGTGTTCAGCGAAGTCTCCTGAGTAAACCAGTACCCCCCATGTACAGGTTTTATAGTGTCTTGGAAAGTTACAGGGTTAAATATATGGCTTGCGAACCAAATTCTCTGGGCTTTCTGCCTGGGATGTCAGGCAAGTCCCTCAAATTGTAATTAATTATATGACTTAATTACGTAAAAATATATATAAATATATATTTAGAATTTATATATAAATGCATGTATATATATTTTTTTTATTTTTATTTATGTATAACTATATGTATATAGATTGATAGATAGATGCACTTATAACATCATTCTAAATGTATTTTAATTTAAATATATATGTATATTCATATCAAAATACATTTAGAAAAATTAAACAGGTATATAATTTTTTTCATATTACTTTTATTTTATTTTTTTCATTTTTTAAAATGTATTAATTATTTTTATTTTAGATATATGTAATATATCTAAAATAAAATATATATATATATATAAAAAACTAACGTCATTCTGAGTGTATTTTAATATTAATATATATGTAATTATATTATATATATATATATTCTTTGTAGAGCTCATTTGCATACGCCTACCCAGAATCCCTTGGAGTAGTAAGAGCACTGTTAGTGAGATTTCTGTGGTAAAAGCAAGTCATATGGCTTGCCTGGTGTGTGTATTTGTGTTTAACATTGCATTACGTAACACATTACCGAAGGTGGAACGCTTAATGGCCGCCAGTTGAAACGCATGCGTCACCCGGAAGTAAAAACTGGAAGTGACGTCATACGGGTACAGCACCTGCAAAAATCAATTGAGGAATCCTCTAAAACAGCTGGACAACGTGGAAGACACCCCCTGGACCACCAATAGGAAGAGATGACAGCCACATATAAGGAAGAACTGGGGAGGGAAGGGTTATGCTGCTATTTTGTCCTTTTGTTAGGATATTTTATATGTACAAAAAATTTTTATTATTATTGGGTCCCTGAGGAAGTCTTATGCAAGACGAAACGCGAAGGACCACACTTGTTTTTATCTTTTATACTCATACAATAAAGCAGAATATTTTTACAATTTCCTGAGTCCGAAGTTCCATATTGTGGCAACACCACCAACCAGCTGAGAGGGAGTTCTGGATATACCCCCCAAACATCTAAGGGGTGGCACCCTAAGGCGATCTTACTAGCTACATCTTGTGAGTTCAATTCATATTGGTGCGGTTTTATTGTTTATTTACAGTATTACACTATTGTACTGTTTTTCTTTTTCTGTAGATTATCAGCTATACTCCTCTGTTATCCATATATACATAATGCAAACAGACTTGTGTATCTTGGCAGACCCTTCAATATTTACATTGTATACAATTTCCATATATCATCAAATATCTGAAATACTTGCTTATATAAATGTATGCTTTAACAAGAGATCCATTTTTAAATCACATTTATGCATAGTTATTTGATTTTTAATTTATTTAATAGGACATCCATGAGAAGATGTAAGAGGTAATGCTATTAAGACGTCATTAAATTAAGGCTATTAAAAAATCCTTAAATTCAATTAGAAAGAAAATCTTTTCCCGACTTCCATTTTCCTTTAAAGACACATGTAAAGTAATCAGAACATGATAGCCATTCACTCGGATATAGAAATAGTGATTTACTAGAAATTATATATATAAAAAAATATTGGATTTGTCCTTGGTAAAACATATCTTCAGATCATCAGATGCTCAGCAAAATGATCTAATCAAGTTGACTAAATCAAAGAAATACTTCTGAAGAGGTTAGTCTTCTTCGAAAAAAGACTGTATAGAGAACAGGTTGAATAACGAAGTGATCTCTGAACTGTTGGATTTTGCAGACGCTCACTTGCTCAGCAGAGGAGTATAGAGAGGATCAGAACACCAACACGGAGATGTGAAGAATTTTCTCCTACCTCTGAAGATGGAAGAAATCCTGAAAAACAGTTGTGTAGAGAAATGCTGGATTTATGGAAATTGAGTCTGCAAATATTCAAAGATAGCTAGATGCACACATGTACACAATATATCCCTAAAACAAAAACATAGATTTCATGAAATAAAATATACAGGGTGCATTAGTTTTTTTTTTTTTTTCTTTTTTAATCTCTCACTCAAGAATCCAGACATTAAAGAGAAATTATTGTGAGCACATTTACAAGTATGCATATACCAAAGTGTGCACACTTGAACAATGAGGTGAAAATATGCTCGACACTTATGTGAAGGATCCCCTTAACCCTCACGACCACATATAACTATATACAAAAAGATATAAGTGGCGCTTCAGAGTACCTGGTTATAACAGTATGAGTTTGAACTACTAAAAATATGTATTAAATGTTGCATTAAGAAATAGGAATCCTCTTTGTATTGTATTATATAAACATTGTTCAACCGATTCCTCTATTTTATTTAATAAAATATTGTTTATTCTGTATTTTTATGTGGGTACTAACTTCCTTCATTATGTTGATTTGTTCACAAAATATACATTGTAGAGTGAATTCTGGGGTTATATATATGTTAACATGTGTTTATTTTCTTTTATAGTAACATTTCTTCTTTTTGTCCATACATGAACAAATTATAAACAAAGCATATAAGCATCTACTCTTGTTTATTTTTTTCAACAAGAGTCATCTCCCTGCTTCCCTCATCTGAAAATTCCATATTTCAAGAAGAGAAATTGCCAAAGGAAAATAATTAGCAAGATGTTATGATTAACTAACATAACACACCCTTTAAAATGTTTTATTACTGTACTGCTTTCCAGTGTTTATAGCCTTTGTCTGAAACTGTTATTGCTCTTTTACACTTTATCTGCATCAACTTCTTAAGGTCGTACAAAGGATGATTCTTTGTTAGTCCAGAGGTAGTAATTTATTAACCTTATATGAGATCTATCTATGTTAAAGTCCTTGCTGAAGTCTGGTCTAAATTTTAAAGTAGTTTATAATTTCCAGTGAATTAGTAAATAAAATGTAAATAAAATGCATGCTGTTCTCATGCAATGGAAGCATGAATGTTGTGTTTAATCATACATATTAGGTATGACAACAATAATGCCCACTTTGTCTCCACAGTCGCTAGCTAAAGCCTTGCCTCCCAACTGTCCCACTTTTGGCAGGACTGTCTCAATTTTGGGGTCCTGCTCCACAGCCCAGATTTTGTTCCATTTTGTCCCAAGTAAGGGATTAGTCCTTGGCTAGCACAGTGCGAGAGAATCATTCAGTGCTACATGCATGATCCTCTATGTAGAAGGCCGGGAGGGAGGATGTTGATTTGTAGCCATCAACCTCTACTTATACCAGGAAGGAAGTTGCTGATAATCACTAAGCATAACTTTGTATAATCAACAAACCCAAATGAGCTATTTAGGACGGATAGTTTGAAGATAAGCAGGTTGGGACAACAAGTAGGTCCAAACCAATTTCATGATTTGTTTCGATTGTTGTCACTAAACATTTTCAACCAGCAGTAGGAGTTGCTAACCTTGGCCAACAGTGACTGTTTCCAAACTACACAATCTACATTAGTAACTGTGCAGTATCAGCCAAAGTTACTGTAAACAGCTCCCATAGACTATAATAGAATCCATGAGCAGATAGTTATGACCAGTCTCTTGGGCTCTTTATTATTTATGGCCCCAAGAGAGCACAGAGATGCCCAGTTTCCTTTGTCCTTAAATATATTGGCCCGAAGAGATGCCCAGTCTCATGGGCCCTTTATTAAACATAATATGGAACCTGGGTAGACCCAAGATATGTCTAATACTCAGGGCTCTTCAAAAATATAATTCTGCCCTATTGGGCCCAGGACGTGCTTAATCTCATGGGCCAAAATAACATGGCTAAAGTTTCCCACACCCCAACTCCCTCTCACTCTATGTCCTTACCTTCCCATTTACACTAATAATAGTGAAAAGGAATTTACCATTTTATGTACCGTATTTATTCTTCAATTTTCTTGTTTTGGCCCTAAAAAAAAGTCAAATATAAAAACAATAATATCGCAACAATGTTTCGAGCAAAAAAAAAAAAAAAAGGACCCAATTCACAAAAAAAAGGGTAATGGTATTCACTTCCCTTCGGTTATATTTAGGTCCCTATCTGATATAAATTAATGTTATTTGCTTTTCAGGTTCACTTTGCTTTTGTTTCTAGAAAAAAATACCAAGTACCAAGCTATATATATATATATATATATATATATATACACACAATGTTCCATATATACACAATGTTCCATATATGCACAATGTTCCAATTTTAAAACTACTTTTTTTTACACACTTTTATTTATAAAACACAGCAGCGAATCAGAGGTGTCTAGTGTTATTTTTATTTCGCTTTCATCCTTTTAGCTCGTATTGCTCTCTGGCTTTTCTCCTCTCTTGCTGCAGCATTTTACAGCTGGTAGCTGTGGTACCATTGAAATCCTATGGTGAGGCTGTTTAGTCATATGTTGGCATAGTTAGAATTCTGTTTTATAAGCTACTTTTGTGAAAAGAATGATTAAAATGTTATATTTTCCGTGCTGCGTTCCCTGAGAATATTCACCTAAATATAGAAATATAGTTTAACACTTTTTGGGGTGGGGAGAGGTTTTTGAAAATGTCACCTGTTTTGACTTTTTTTTTTAAATAAACTTGTGTGAGCAGCGACATCACTCTGCCACACAGCCAATTAATGTCCTCATTATTTGTCCCCTTTCTCTTTAGCATGGTTTTTAAATACTATATAGATAACAAAAGGGCAGTGGCTGTGGAGGCAGAGTCAAGTCAGCAACTCAGCTCACAGTGATCTCTCATTGGTTGAGCTACAGTATTTACTTTCTAATCAGGAAGTTGTCTTGTGAAACAGGGAGGCATGGCTAAAGGGGTGGAGTTATACTTCAATAAGCTGCATAATTTTTATTTATTTTTTTAAACAAAAGTAAAGAGATTTGAACAGCGAGAAAATACAGCATGAATATGAAGCCAAACCTATCATATGCAGTTAAAGTGGATTTTTTAACTTTCAGAAGCCACAAGCTGCATCAGTTTTGTACTTTTGTGCAAACCGAGAGTACAACACTGAGGTCTATAGAAGATATGCAATGGCCTCCATAGATCATGTCTCACAGTAAGTAAAATGGAGATGATTCCTGAATCCCATAGCCATCATTTGTGATAGCTGCTGGGACTGGAAAAGAGTTAACAGTGAAGGTACTGCTTTTTCTCAACTTCTATCATATACTGTGTCTTTCTCAGCCAGAAAAAGGTCCAAAAAATAAATAAATAATATCGCAACGATGTTTAAAGCAAGAAAAAAAAAAGACATTCATGGCTCCACTCCAACTGAGCATTCATGCCAGGACAAGCCTGTCAATTCACCCCCTTCTATTATATGAGAAAAAAGTAGTCCTTAGTTTGTCTTATGGTATATTTGGATTGCTTTGGGATTTTAATGAAATTTCAAAGCAGTCAGCATGAGTATTTTATAAAGAGTATATCTTTATGAAATATTCAGAAGCGACTGGACCGTTTTAAGTTGTGTTTATGCCCAGAATTTTCCTTTAAGTTGCTTTGGTGCCCAGAGCGTTAAGCATGTGATTTACAACTATATACTTTAATGCAATAATGTAGTAAAATGAAGTGGCCCGGGCGACTTTAGTGGTCCTTTAATACTAAATGAGGTCCCTGGCCACCCACAGCCCAGCCCCGACTGCATATATGACTAAGATTACACAGTACTAGAGACCGTATCTTCAGAAGGATATTGATACTTTGTAGAGAGTTTAGAGAAGGGCTACAAAACTGGTTCATGGATTGCAGGTTAAAAGCATGTGTGAAATAGGCATAAGGCTATTCTAACTATAAAAGACTAATGAAGTATTTAGAAAATTGTGCAGACTAGATGGACTAAATGGCTCTTATCTGCTGTCACATGCTATGTTTCTATGTTTCCTTCAAGCCACACCAATTTACACTAGCAATGGGTGTTGTGGTAGATTATAAGCAGTCAGTTGACACTCTCAGTCAATTACAGCCACCCATTGCTACTCAGTCTAATGCATCCTCATTAGAACAAGCATTACAGTAAGGATAGGCTGCTGGGGACTCTTGTCTACCATTAAAACATGTGATTTGATATGATGGAAGTATACACACAAGCACAAGGCAGTAGTGACGTTTCTAGAGATATTACAAATAAGGCATTTTTTTGCAGTTACCTGCAAAAAAATTCTTGTACTCAAGAAGTCGGCTTAGTTTTTATATGGTGATAAATATTTTAATGTGTATTTAAGATTGTTCAGAGTTCTGTCAGTGCCAAAGCAAAGCCAGGGAAAAAAAACTGAGCTAATAGACTTTATGAAATTCTGAAAACCACTGCAGTAACCAATATCGCAAAGAACTTGCAAAATGGGACTAGCACTAGAGGTGTCTCCTCCTGCTGATAGTAACTCAACATTTTCTACTACAAATGTGTACTGCATGCTAATAAACAAAATATTATCTGAACAGAATACAAAACTTATAAGGGAAAACATGGCTAGAAAAACAACTGCTCTTTTTTATTTTTGTATATAAAAACAAAAATAACTACTATTTGAAATATGATATATGACACATAATATCAACACCAGGAGTGTTAAAGGGACACTATAGTCACCCAGACTACTTCAGCTCAATGAAGTTGTCTGTGTGCCATGTCCCTCAGGTTTTAACCCTTCACATGTAAGCATAGCAGTTTAAGAGAAACTGCTATGTTTACATAGCAGGGTTAATCCAACCTCTTGTGGCTTTCTTCCTGACAGCCACTAGAGGCGCATCTGCGACGCTGGATGCAAAATTCGCATCCAGCGTGCAGAACGTCCATAGGAAAGCATTGAAAAATGCTTTCCTATGGAC